TGACAAAAGAGTTTTTGCACATGCTTCAAGCATTTGAATGAAACATCCATACCTGTACATAACAGTATATAATGTTCCAGTGTATGATGCAATTAGCATGGTTATAGCCCTTCACAGTAGGAAGGCAACACATTCTGCATGCACAAGTCTCCCCTTGAGCACATTATATATGCCAAAGGCTCATTCTTTTCTTGGCACTGCTTGTGATTAAGATGTGTTTTTATTCATCATGAATTATGCAATTTTTGCATAAACATTTAGTTGAAATTTCAAGTGTTGTCTTTGTTATCTTTATTTTCTTGATTTCAAGAAAGAACAATCCAAATTGTTTAACTTTCAGCAAGAGCTTTTGATACAAATTATCTTTTCTTATAGTAATTTGATTTATTTTCTTAATCAAATTATGAAATTTTAGGCCATGTGTTTTTGAGTCTGTGTTGTGGTTTCTTTGACATGATTCATCGCCATTGTTATTAAACCAATGTTTGGGTGTAGATACTTACTCTTAATTTTGTCAATACAAAGTTACCAAGTTAAGTACTGTGTCAATACCAGATGTACTAAAAATAATCTTAGTGATTTCTCTTCTGTGAACCTTATTTCATATAATTAATTATAACCTTGTTCCTGAAACCTCCTATTGTCTAAACTCTCTTTCATAGGAGTTATCTTATTTTCTTGCTGTGTCCACCAGAATTATTCAGACAGTAAGCAATGTTACCATCATTGTACTTTATGATGTTGGTTCATCTTGAGCCCAGGACTCACAACTTTCTGCTGAGCCTACTTTGTTTTTGGATGTCTCTGACCATCACTTCCTACTATCTGCCTTTGCTTCTGGCTTTTCCATCTCTGAATAGGAAAAAGTAAAACCTATCTTTTTCTCCTGCTACTCTGTTAACTCAAGTATGCAACAGATGTTCATTTACTTCAGTTGTTTTCTTCTGTTTCTAAGGTTATCTTCTTTCCTCATTTGTAGCATTATTGCAGATTCTTTCAGGCTGTGCTTCATGTTGACTCTGTCAATTACCACTTCTCTCCTGAACCTAAGATTCTTTTTCTGTGGCAAGTGATTGGATTTCTTCATCTTTTCTATTGCTCTTATCCATTGAATCACTTTTACAAGTTTGAAGATTCTTCTGCTTCTTATATTGTGAATCTTTTTTTTCTTACCCCTAATTTACTGTTTTTCTTATGTTGCTTACTTGCTTTCTTATTGTGCTATCTCCTTTATTCTTTTCCTCTAATACACCTTATTACTACTATGATAGCTCTATTGGGGCAAGGTCACACTAACCTGTTTTTCACAGTGCTCTTCTTTCTTCTTCAGCTATTGCCCAGTTCACTTTCTTTGGTTCTTGGAGTTAATTTATTAGGATAATTTGTTTTCTGTAGTAAACTCTGGGCATCTTTTGTCCATCTTTCTTGGACGTACATCTGTTTACAAATATTTCTGTTTGGATGAGATGCAGTGTTGAACACTTACACTATAAATAGTGTTTGGTCTTCAGAGGAATGGTCCTTGCAAATCAACATCTTCCAGATTTTGACAATTAAACTTAACTTTAGGAATCCTGTTATTGATACCTTTGTGGTTCCCTTCAACCCCAAACTTTTACTCTTTTCATCAGCAATCCCAGATTATGTGGACCTGGCAGTGGATATTCTGAGTCAGGAATTGGTACATCCTCTCTCCTTCTCTATGTTTCTCCTCCTGTCCCTAATTTGTAGTACCCCCATGCTGGGCTATTCTACCCCCCCCCCCAACTTTGGCTAGCTCATAGTTTGTGTTTCTACCCCTTCCATGTTGAAGGACCTTTTATATCAACCTTAGAAGTCCAACTTTCACCATGACATGCCACATCAGGCTATTTAGTTGATGTGTGTGTATATATAAACCTTCCAAACCATCCTAGACCAACAAAGAAAATAAGAGTGGTTATACATCCACTCAACTGAAAAGTTCCTGTTTCATTGCAAAATCTCTTAGTTTGAGTGAAGGGTCTTATGTAGATTAAATGATTCTTGTTCGTTCCACACGCACACACATCTCTACACTTTTCTCTTATGCAAATTCTTTCTTATGAGCAAAAGCAAAGAAGAATATGTAATGATATACATCAACCTCGTTATATCCGCCATATCTAGTGCCTACAAGGCCTTTCACAAATACCTGGGCTTATCATTTACATGTACACGAGTTGCATTAATTGACTTTCAATAGATAACACTATTTGTGGTAGAGAAATATTTTGTTAATAGTTGAAAATTATGTCTGCATTGAAAGATGCTACATAATTTGTCTATTTCTTCACAGACTTTCTTACATACAGTGTTATTTAACCATCTACATATATTTAACTTACAATGAAACCTTGTATAGATGGGCAGCTCATATTAAGAACCAGAAAAGAATTAAACAAAAGCAGATTATGTAAATGATTAGATTTTAGGGCCTTTTGAATCGTAATATACGTTTTACATGCGTGTGATTATAAGTTTTATTTAAACTGAAGCTTAAAGTAATTATAAGGCTTTATGAAGATTTCAAAAAGTATTGGTTGTGACCCATCCAACCGTTGAACAGCCTCAGCTTCATCATGATGATTATTCCCTTTCCATCTTTTTGATCAAGTTATGTTTATGTATGGCATGGTTTCTGTGAATAAAGAAGTTCATATAAAACTTCTGTTTTTTTGTTTTTTTAAATACACTATCTTACTGTTGCATTTGCTTCACACTAAACTGACACTGTGTAATGAAACAAGAGTTTGAAGGTAAAGATTAACAAATACATGTATTTAATTGGCTTTCATATTTTATTAATAATAAAAAATTCAAAAAGAATGCTTTGAAGAACCAATACTTAACTATTGTTTTTTTTTATAAAGGTACTTGTATCTGAAAGTTATATAGTTAGTTCTTACAGTGTGTGTAAATAAATTTCTTTGTGATATAATTTAAGTATGACAACCCCTAAACATCCTTTTTTGTAATTGAAAACTTGTTAATTTTGTTTTTGTAAAAATTTCTAGCATTTTTATAGTTTCATGAACTGTCATAACATAACATGGACCTATTAGCCCATCTTTCCATCTTCAAAACTAAAATAAAATGATTAAAAAATAATAATAATAAAATGTTAAACCCAACTCTTTTCATTCATATACTTATCAAGTTTTTTCTTAAACTCACTTAAATTTACTGCCTCTACAACATCTGAAAGCAACCCATTCCAAAGGCCAACCACCCTTTTAGAAAAATGAAACTGTCTTACCTTGCCAAAATTTATATTTGTGTCTCCTCCCCTAGTCCTACTATTCTCATTGTTAGATATAAATAAAGATGATGCATAAACACTGTCAATTCCCTTTACAATGTTAAACACCTCAATCAGACCCCCCCCCCCAACTCTTCTTTTTTCAAGAGAAAACAATTTGAGAGATTTCAGCCTCTCGTCATATGACAACAC